ATTTGATTTAAAACCAAGTTTGTATTGTCAGTTATTTGATGCTTTTGTTGCTTCCATTTTGAACTACTCGTGCGAGGTATGGGGAGTAATAAAATCTAAAGAATTAGAGCGTATTCATTTAAAGTTTTGCAAAAGGGTTTTAAATGTGAAGACAAGTTCAAGCACTGCTAGCATTTACGACGAACTAGGGCGGTATCCGTTATTTATTTACCGCTGTGTTCGGGCAGTAAAATTCTGGTTACAGATTAACAATTCTGATAACTGTTTTCTGAAAGAACTGTATGAAATATCATTAGAGGATTTGAATAACGGGAAAACAAATTGGGCCAGTAATATAAGAAATATATTATATTTATACGGTTTTGGTTATGTATGGGAAAATCCGTTATCAGTACACTCCAATTATTTTCTTAATTACTTTAGCAAAGAAAGACTGACAGTTATAAACAAGAATGGTCGGAGAATATAAGCAATAACAGTGTATTGTGTTCATTATACAGACATATTAAAACTGAATTCGGTTACGAAGAGTGTCTAAATATCTTTCTTAAAAGCAAACGTTATTTGTTCACTAGAATTAGAATGTCGGCACATAATCTTAGGATAGAAACGGGACGCTATGGTAGAAATAGATTAGAGAGGAATGAAAGACTTTGTCAAATATGTGAATCAAGCACGGGCATAGAAGATGAATACCATTATGTTCTGGTGTGTAAAAAATATAGTGACTTAAGAAAACAGTATATTCCAAAATACTTTTGGAAAAAGCCGAGCGCGAACTGTCAAAATCAAAGAAAAAATCTGTGGTAAATAATATGATCTCCTATTTATTTCATGCATCAAAACTTCGACATGCTAGTACTAAAGTATATGATTTATAGCTCATCCTCTACCATTGTAGATTATAGTCTTGATTATGTCTTGTAGTATTGATGTTTTTTCTTGACTTTAACATTAACTTTTGTAAATTGTGTAACATGTATAATTATGACTATATAACTATATGTTTACGCATGTATATTGACCTATGTTTATATGTATTGCATGTATGTTCAATTCCTTATTGTTGAATAAAATTGTTATGTTCTTGTTCTGTTTTATACAAATGAATTGAAAATTAGTAAAATGTTCCTTAACACGTGCTGAAAATCCGTTGATGTTGAGCGGCTTCCTTTACCGTCAAATAATAAACTTTGATCGCTAAACAAAGGTTCATTAAAACCAGGCCAGTTATGAACAACTGTTTTCTGTATTATATTAAATACATTTACTAATTAGTTAAACCACCGCTTGATTAATATTTAATTGTTGTAAAGAAAAAATGAATAACTAACGCACTCCAACGGGTTTGATAAATAGAGGATATTGAATGAGTGTAAGTTCAATACTGAATTTAGTGCACGAGTTGAATATTATTATATTATGCGAGCCTCTGGCGAGCATAATATTATTTTATTCAACGAGTGCAATAAATTCAGTAATGAACTCAACACGAATTTAATATTCTTTTTATCACATACCCAAAATAAAGACCGTTTAAAGTGAAATTAGAGTCATTTTCATTGACGCGCCTATAGTATAACGTAATATTCAGCGCGTCTTTATACTCAATCTCCTACGCAGTGATCTCCCCTTATCAGTAAAGAGATCTCTGCCATCACAAACATTGAAATATCAATATTTGGATATTTATATCTTTTAGCTTTTTAATTTATTTTTCATTATTTTGTATACTTTTGATAATTTTTTGATAAAATATAACGGACGTAGGTACAAAAAGTTCAAAATAAAACAGAAAGAGAAAAATGACGTTATTTTTTTTATGTAACGGTCGATATTTACATTTGAATTTCGACGTTACGTCATGTGACTTTCATCATCATGTGACGTCTGTGAAGGCAGTGATTACAATTCTGCCAAGGGAGGTAATCACTGTGAGGAGTTTGCTTTATACTATGTTTGTATAACGCTAATGACGTCACGTCAAAATATATACACGGCCGTGCAATACCATTTTTACGGAGTCGCAAAATCGGCACGGGTGTGTGATAAACATGTATCAGCCTTGTCAAGCGATTTTTATGCTCATTTATTCGCGTCTTTAAGTTTTAAAGCTTACCAAACCAGACAAATTATGTATTTTTCAATACTGTGTAATTATGTGAATGAACATGTTCCAATTAAAGTTTCAATACACGAAAATATCTTGTTTTAGCGCATTTAAGTTACACACGAGTAGTTCACGGAACTTTTGTTTCAGTGCCAAAGGATTCAACGAAGGTCAAATTGATTAGTCACAGTTATTCCTTGAAAATGTATACATGCAAGGGTAGGGTAGGGTAGATAGATAGATTGATTGATTGATTGATTGATTCGTCTATTATTCGTTCTAAATTCGTTTGTTCGTCCGCCCGTCTGTTGACCTTCATATGACAAGTTATTTTCAATCGTGTCCAAAAAATCATGCAGAACAATTTAATAAAGAAAAGAGTGATGAACATCTTTTGTTTGTTTGCGTCGATATAAATTGCTTTTAATTTTCCCATATTTTGAAAGAAATATTTAAGGGTTGTATCGATCGGGCACTCAATCCAGTCTCATTTGACCGGATTCTCTATGGTCTTGAAATACTTAAAGTTATATATATATATATATATATATATATATATATATATATATATATATATATATATATATATATATATATATATATATATATATATATATATATATATATATATATATATAATAAACCCGACAAAGAATAACCTTCATACTTAGTGCTTTTACAATAATATGCAATTGATTACATTCTTGGAATAAAACCTCAACAAAGTCTTGGTACCAAAGTCTTGGAACCAAAAACCTTTAAGATAACATTTCATTTGATCTCCAGTAATGAGAGAGATGTATCATTTTAAGTGTCAGCGTAATTATCCTATTATAAACATTTCTTTATGTGTACATTTCGAAAAAGGGCTAATGCGGATAATAATTTACATGTCTAGTTTTTGATGATTATACTGCATGTTTCTTCTTAGGATGAGATGAGGACTTAAGATTAATTCTTAAATAAATACATTTCAATAATCTTTACAATATAATATATATAACTAATATAGCTAACCTACAAAAAAGTAGTTCACTTAAAATGTTTGCTCAACTTTATGTGCTGTGTAGGTTGTACTTGTTAATTGTTTTTAGACGCCGCTTGCACGCGGCGTCAAGTAGATATACATTTGTCCATACAGCAATGGGAAAATTTTAGACTTGACTTTGTGTATTTTTTTCGTTTAACAAAATCACACTGTTTTTAATTTTTCTAATAAAAATAGCTTTTATGATGTACAATATGTCACAGAGCTTTAAGGGATTAGAATAGTCAAGTTGCAAAGCCTAAACCACGCCCACTATCAGAGAGGCGATTCTCACTCAACCGTTAAGAAAGTACAACAAACCGGTTACGCTACGGCATGTAAGGGGAGATCACTGCAGAACAGTTTGTCCTCAAAGTTTGTTATCCAATTTATTTTGATTTGACCAGACGTTCCAGTCTTTGTGGCAACAGACAAACATTTAAGATTTTCAGACCTGGCAGTATTTTGTCTGAATTTATGCATTAGGTTATACTTTTTCACAAAAATATACAACTTTGTTATTAAACAACGAGCACATACCAAGAACATGGAGAAAAAATTGATTTGTGCTTCGGATATTCAATTGTCATAGAGAACGATTTTCGATGCTGATTGACTGTTCACATCATTTGGCGGTGTCTTTGATGTGCAGCATCAACATTTAACTTGTTGAATTCTGAAACAGGTCTATAACTTGAGTACCCGTGTAACGGTAAGCAAATATCAGTTAAACAAAATTAACCATTTTCTACATAAAAATCGATTCTTTACGTTGAAACAACATAATTCAAGATAAACAGTTAACAAAAATATATGTTTAGGCTAGATTGAGATACAAAAGAATTTCAATAATTTTATCAAATTACTCAAGAGCATTTATGATTTTGTTATGATGTTTGTCTAAAATACATATTCTGAGAAATGTTTATGTATGGTTGAATTTAGTTCTTCTTTGTCAGTTGGAACACGTCGACGATTTTCATATTTTTTCGAAGATTTGCGAAAAGGGTTAAAAAGTTGCGGTTTCTTTTTCGTCAATGTTAAAGATATATAGGTGACTGCATATACATACATGTACTCGTATATAGTAGTGCTTAACCTCATTGTCCAAAGACGTACTAATATTTCCCGCAATTAAAACATTGATTTGATCAATATAACCAGCTTCTGTAATACCGTCTACTGATATTTTTCTTTACAATTTCAATTTTAAAACATTTTCAAATTAAAATCCTTTTTTACAGTGGACTACTCATCAAATCAAACTAAATTTCCCGACAATAGACACATTGACATGACATTGTATCTATCAGGCTAGCACAACATCGTAGAGCTAGGGAATTTATCTGTTTGTGTTCCAGCCACACCGAAACTGTAGATGCAATATGGTGTTTTATTTTGCTTTACTGATAAAGGGTGACTTCCAGTTCTCTTCCGTATTGCATTCTTTCAAGGACAAGAGGGTATCCAAGTTGAAAAAATGGCCTGCCATCAACTAAATTGATAGCTTCATTACAATAGAGAATTCAAGGTCTTTCACGAGATTCGAGCACACAGGGGTGTTTGTTTAAACCTGCAACATTATCAACCCCGTCCCCCGAAGTGTCAATATTTTGACTGCAAGACCGACGATTGCTCAAACTGATATTTACATAGATGTCGGTTTTAAGGACTACCATTGTTTATATAATAAAACGCTCTAGTGCACAATTTTTTGGGGTACTACACACCAGCCCCATGGCCCCCTTCTCTCTCACAAGGAAAATAAAGAATCACTTTCTAGAGATGCCGTTTTAATCTTATACACTCTATATTCTAGTAATCACCAAAGCAATTATACTATCTTTTTTATCATATTTACAGGATTTTGCTTGGTGCTCCTAAGGACAACAGCCACTTTCTTCCTGATGCAGATAGACCCGGGGCTATATATAAATGTACTTTTACCTCAGACTTCAGTAGTCGCAGCTGCGGGGAAATGTTTATTGATGGTCAGATATTCACATCATTAATTTTTTTTATTAATTGTGTGCAATAAATGTAAGATAAAGATATAGATTATTTTGCGCACTGATAAAACGATATCGTTTATTATGTGTAATTATAGTATGAAATCGTGAATTATTATATATAATGGTAGTAAAATATCAATTATTTATCATCTTATTTTATGCTGTGTATCAGGTGTCATTATTTCAACGATTTATATACATATAATTTATATTTATTCAAATAAGTGAATTTCTGAAAGTCATAATTCTTAACTAAACAAGTTTCAGCTAGGGTCACAAATAGGAACAGAGCACCCATCCACCTCCTAGGGGAAACAAACAAAGAAAAAATAAGGAAACATTATGCATAGTACTAAAAATGTTCTATCCCGTAAATTAAGTACTTATAATAAGTTAAACAATTCAAGAATTAGTACCATGCCAGCTATATGCATTGAAATTTTTTGTGGCATGCGTACACAGGATACAGTGAAATATGAATAAGTTGAAAAGATAAAACATACACATAATTATATGGTTAAGTTCATATGCGACCAAACCATAATTAATATCAATTCTTTTAAAAGGAAGAGGCGAAATACATACTTGATTTAAAAACTGTAAGACTCTTTTTGTGATGGTCATAAAACGTCTATCATAAATCATGATACATGTATATCAGAATTTAACTAAACAGAATAAAAAAATCCTCAACAAAATAATCAACCCACAGTTTCATATGGCTAAGCGAGTGATGGCCTAGTGGTTAAGATATTTGCCTCTCTCCACCCAATTATAGTGAGTTCAAAACCGATCACTATGACCTTGGTCACAACCATTTTATACTTATTTGGCAACCGACCTTTACTGATTTATACTATAAAAGGGCTCGAACATGATTAATATTGTTTCACAATCAATCACTCATTGACCCTAGCAACCTTAATATCAGAAATGGATATGCACATCGTTTAATCTGGATAAAACCATTTATCTTTTTTTTTTTTGGGGGGGGGATTTAAAAATGTACTGACTGAGTGAACAGTGCAGACCATGATGAAATTGCACGGATATGCCGACTGGTCTTCACAGTCGTATCATTTGACCTCAGGCCGATTATGCACCAGAAATTGTGTTGTTGTTATTTTTCTAAAGCTCTAAATCATCTGAACCATCTTTTTGCTTCCAATGCCATTTGGAAATTAGTTAGAGTTATAATGATTTAGGATTTTGTATGGAAGTCAAAATACTACTTAGCTTATATTTTGCTACTTTTGTTACAAATAATATCATTTTCAGCGCTACTTTTATTTTGGGTGATAAACATCTCACATGCTTGAAAAAAATCATTTAAATGTTATAAAACTCTCATGTGCCCTTTTTAAAGATGGAAACTATTTTTGTTTCTAAAGCATACTGTGCAAAAAATACATATACGTATGAAACATTTAGCAATCAGTTTAATTATTGAATACATTGTATAATGTTTATCATAATATCATACTTGATATTTAACTATTTGCTTATACAGTTTAGAGACTGAATTATGACACCAACTCTTACTTGAAACATTGTTTGCTCTATCTCTCGAAAACAAAAACAAACAGAACGGTACTTTCTGACAATATCAACACATCATTTAGGAAATTATATATCCCGAACTGATTTCATCGTGAAAACACGATGGTACGATGGTGAAAACGCGAAGGTACAATGGTAAAAACGCGATGGTACATTGGTGAAAAGGCGATGGTACGATGGCGAAAGCGCGATGACACGATGGTGAAAACGCGATGGTACATGGTGAAAACGCGATGGCACGATGTGAAAACGCGATAGTTCGATGGTGAAAACACGATGGTACGATGGTACGATTGTAAAAACGCGATGGAACGATAGTGAAACCACGATGGCACGATGGAAAAAACGATTATACTTCGCGTTTTCACCATCGTACCATCGCGATTTCACTTTAGTACCATCGCGTTTTTATCATCGTACCATAGTGTTTTCACCATCGTAGCATCGTGCCATCGCGTTTTCAACATCGTGCAATCGTGCATTGCAGGTACAGCATTGTAACACCGCACTTTGGGTTCAAACGCACTTTGGCTCCAACCCCAAAGTTCGTTAAGTACTTTGGAGTCCGACCCCAGAGTGCGTTACGCACTTTGGGGTCCAGTTTCGACCCCAAAATGGGTTAAACAGAACAATATGCATTTTAACATCAGACAAACGACCGCACTTTGGGGTCATAAAAAATAATTTTCATTATGTTCTTAATAATAAAGTGTAATCATAGCAAATGGTAAACACATATCAAGGTATTAAATAGACGCAAAACATGTGCTCGAAATTATAGTAGAATCAATAGGGATTTAAATGGTCTTGATCTGTAAGTGAAGAACTTTCACCACCAAATAAAGAATTTGAATTTATCAAATATTAAGCTCAAATTTTATTTTTTCTCAATTTTTCCATTTATTCTAATTGCATCATTTTCCCGTTTTTTTATTTACACAATTTATAGAAAAATGTCTTAGCATAGACAAAGCTATGTCGTAGCCACGAGATACTATGTCGGTGCCACGAGTTACTAAGTCGTGGCCACAAGATGCTATGTCGTGGCCGCGAGTTACTGAGTCGTGGCCACGAGATAGCTAAGTCGTAGCCACGAGATACTATGTTGTTGCCACGAGTTACTAAGTCGTGGCCACGTGATAAATAACCAATCAGATTACACCATTTATATGAATTTCCCTTATTAACTAGGCATGTGTCATAGTACAAGGATGCCCCTTCTTCACCAGCCTGTAAAAGTGCCATTTATACAACTTATTGACTAGTCAATAATTTTACATTTAGCGTCACTGTGACCCTGATTTTTTTACCCAATGACCTCGAAATTATTAGATGTCATATACTGATCAGGTGCAATGATCTTTCTGGGTAAAATAAACCATGGCTTATCCCTTCTAAATTATTCATCAGACAAGGATTTTACCTTAAAGGCTATCCTTTGACCATGGGCAATGTCCCTTCCAAATAAAATAAACCAGGACTTATTCCTACTCATGTTATCGTATAAACAAGGTTAACAAGCCGTACGTATAATAGTACGTACAAATTGACCAATTCGATCAGAAAATTGCCACAACAAAGGGCTAAAGTCAAAATTAATGTCTGCTTGGCCTTGGAAGGTGACTTTTCAATATGATCCTAAAGACAAGTTCAAAGTGAATATCTTCAGTATTTTCAAAGATTAATGTTGCATGTAAAAATAAGTTTAAAAAATTCATTATATATATAGTGTATCCTGATTGGTTAATTATCTCTTGGCCACGACTTAGTTATCTCGTTCCCACGACTTAGTAGCTCGTGGCCACGACATAGTATCTCGTGGCCACGACTTAGCTATCTCGTGGCCACGACTTAGTTACTCGTGGTCACGACTTAGCTATCTCGCGGCCACAACTTAGTAACTCGTGGCCACGACATAGTATCTCGTGTCCACGACTTAGCTATCTCGTGGCCACGACTTAGTAACTCGTGGCCACGACATAGTATCTCGTGGCCACGACTGAGCTTAGTAACTCGTGGCCACGACATATTAACTCGTGGTCACGAGATAAATAAAAACACACACATGTCACCTTTGTGCAACCGTACAAAGGTATAAATTCCGGGAAATCTTAGTGCGACATTTCAGTACAAATTATGCCTGATAATGTGCTGAAAGAAACTTGACTAGGTGTACATGCGGCTTTAGGTAGTAGTCCGTACAGGCAGTACTAAACATATCATAAACTATTTAAGTGATCGACATTTAGAGAGGAGCTTCAAAATAATGTAAAATTCTCACTCGTCGTATAGAGGGGATTGTGGGGTATTGATCCCCCCGAGGGTTAAAAATAAAGTTTTAAAGGTCCATTATGCTTTTTAGCTTTTTTATTTTGATGTTCTTCTATATTATCAAAAAATACACATTGGCCAATTACCTGAACCATCTTTTTCATCTAATGCTTTTTGGCAATGATGACTACAGTTAAATGTGAATTAGTATTTTATATGGAAGTCAAATACTACATTGTTTTGACTACTTTTATGACAAATAATTTCACATTTATCGCTACTTTATTCTGGTAACAAGCATGTTACATTTCTCTGATAACATTATAAAACTCATGTTTGCTCTTTGTAAAGAAGTATGTAAGATTTTCCATTAAAAAAGCCTCTGGCGAACGGTTGTTACGGAACTTACAAAAAAACCTTAAGTATGTTGATAAGCTGAATAATGTTTTTGTAAAAATCACTATTTATTTATAGTCCGATCGAAAATAAATTCATATGACACCAGAACATTGCAATAGAGTATATTTATAGTTCTTTGGGAGAAGAATATTAACTGCATTTTATTTCATTCTCATCATTTTTAAAATGGGCCTCGATATGACACCAAAAGTTATTAAGTAAATGACGGCCAGAACGCGATATTTTTCGCAGCATCTTTTAATTTTAGGAATACATCCACAATTTATGTACTTGAGTATTTTGTTATATGAACACAAATTTAGGTATTTCAAGTGGCAAAATTAATGAAACTTTTATCACTTAAGCATCGACCGCCATCTTGAACTCCACCTCATGATCAAATATTTCAATGTCGCAGATCGGAAATAAGTCAGTACTCATTAATTAAGCAGAACTCAGATGACACCTTTAGACCTCTGGAACCCAAAATGCGTTGATATGTAGCCCCAAAGTGCGATGCGAAGTTTAACGCACTTTGGGGTCGGACCGCAAAGTGCGATAGACTTCAAAGTGTGGTGTTACACAGCCTAAATAAAAAAATTACGATTGTACAAACGGAACAACGTACTCTTTTGAGTTCGGATGCGAGGAATTATATTACGAGGGCGTAGCCCGGGAGATACAATAATGCGCATCCGAACGACAAACAGTGATTTTATCAAGCGAAAACATTTCCGATTTGGATATATTATTTCGATTCTTACACGACATTAACAAATAAATGCTGCCATACCTGATATTTAGCTAAATTTCGCCTGATTTGTTTCCATACTTATTTCAGCGCGTCGCATTTTTAGTGGTTATGTCACATGTTCATAATGATTAAGCAACACGTCTAAAAGAACGTCAACAGTGTTCAATTGCATAATAACATACACTTTCGGTTCTTTTATGTTCAACAAGGAAAAATGCGGGTCGTGTAACACACACTTTCGGTCATTCTATGTTCAATTAGGAAAAATGCGGGTCATGTTTGAATACACCATGACATAAGTTATTTTAGCATAACAATATGAAACTTAAACTTTATTGTTTGCTTCGCTTGTTGATTCATCAAAGTGGGATGTATTGTTATAATATAGATAATTATGAGTGTTCGACATATTTTAATGATCTCTTTTCTGAGTTTCCTGAGTTTCAAGTACTGACTTGAAAGAAAAACATTTATAATATTGTCATTCGGTAGCCTCACCTATAATTCACACGCTTCTTACTTTTCTCTTATCTATATCGAATACAAACAGAAATAAATAACACACACATCCCGCGTCTAAAATGCTGCCTAGCTATCAAGTGGAAGGTTCACGTAAGGTCGCTAGTGATGTTATTCTGTTACTATTAGACATCGTGACTTAGAATAGTCCATCCATCCATCCATCCCATGTCGGTTAATGTGACAAATGACACATAAATATTAAATAGAAAGTTCCTAAATCCTACATGTTGGCATGCCTGTCCGTCTGCCGTCCAGCCAGGCATTAAATGACATAAAGACAGAATGTTCGTATCTATCAAAAAACAAAAATAAATCAAAGTACTTTAAGTACTTTTGCAGTAATTCTTTTTTTATTCTCATGATCAGTCCGAACACACACATGTGTGTGTTTTTGGTCTCCTATTTTCTAATTTTTTACACATGTGAAAAGTAATTTCTGTGATTTTGCTTCAGATAAAACAGAATATGAGGTGACACAGTTCAACGGTAGGATGAGATTATTAACACATGGTAGAGATGGCCAATGGCTTGGAGCTTCACTGGATGTCAATAGAGACGCAGGCATTGTGGTACATTTTTGTGAAATGTTTAATATACAAGCCTAAATAAGCCAAATAAATTAGCTAAATATAACCTCATACATCAAAAATACCTTTTTATCCATTGATAATGCTTTTGTTTATTTACTATTCCCGACACAATGTCTTGCTTTTAACTCAGAGTGAGGATTCAATATAATTCGGAAAGTTCTAACTTGATCAACACTATTAGAACTCTATGCTATGAAAGACTTATTTAAGGGCGTTAAATATGTGTTACAGACATGCGCTAATCGCTGGTATAACAAACAAGGTAAAGTTGGTCAGATCTACTACATGACTGGACTGTGCTACAAAATACCTCTAAATTTCAACAAAAATAACATCAAGAAGATCCCCGGGCTTGTTGGGCTTAACAAGCAAACAATGAATGATCCCAGAACAAACATCACAAAACTCAATAACGGCATGGGCGCTCTAGGTTCGTCTGTCCACTATTCAAGTAAGGTAAGATCATGAAATTTAAAAATGACGTTCAACATCTTTTCCCTCTGTGATAGGAAATGAACTAGTCTAGTGTTTTTATGAAAAACGCTCCATTGTTAATAAGTCAATGGTTTCAATATTAAAACCAGGTTAAAGTTTCCTTTTGGAGAATGCTAATTTATATAGACTGGGTGGATGAATTCTGAGCGTGTGATTATATCCTGGCAACACATGTTCTACAATCTCAGTCCTCATCAAATACCATAATGTTTACGACAAGTGTGTTTGCTGTAGCTAGCAGCTTCTTTCAGTAATGCTAAGGAAACAAGACATTGTTTTTTTTTTCGAAATTTATTTGACATCTCAAAACAATATGACACTAAAGTGTGTTTTTTTTTAATTCTACGAGTAACACACGAGTACAAATGTAACACACACAAGTATGACATAATTACTAGTATAGAAAACAAGAAAAACATCAACCTGGTTGGACTGCAATTCAGCTGAAAGAAGTGTTTTTATTCTGTAGTCAGTAGCAACTTTCATTGTCTTACAACGCTATCTACTTTACAGTATTTATACAGGAACATCCCGCTATTTAAGTCACTTTTGTTCTTGTACATTTTTTTATGAATAACTGTTGGTCTCATTTGCTCATTTTTCTGTAGAATACTTATCCTGATTTAGAGTCATCCATTGCTGAATAGTACTCTCTTAAGACTATGAATAGTTTAAGCTATATAGCTTGTTAGCACTCTTCTCGTGCATTAAATTATGCACGTGCTAAAAATGAAGGTCAAATTAAGTCATCATTTTACTTTTATAGTGACGATGGAACTTTTACCCAAACATGAAGAAGAAAAAGAAGAACAACAACGGCATTTACAACAGCAAGATTTCATCTTCTATATATAATCTCACTATTTTACAGGGAGAATATCTATTATTAGGTGCCCCGGGCTTGTGGTATTTTACAGGGGGCTTTATAGACCTGCACCGTTCCGATGCATTGATCACAGAGAACATAAAACCACCCACAGAGAGAAACGAAATGGCGGGTGAGTTTTAGAATTAGATTAAGTTCACATTTTGAAGTAACATTGCATTTCTGCAGCTACTAATAAAACGTTATGCATGAAATTAAAGTGGATTGGTCTGCATTGGGGAAATTTTCCAAAGTATTTCAAATATTAATGAAAACAATAAAAATGTTTAATTTGAATATTCTAATGAAATATATCTGGAAAACAAAATGTTATCAGAGTTCTTATATGATGAATAATGATAATTTGTTCTAGAATACTTTATTATCTGCTATATATTGATATGTGAAATCGGATCAGGTATCTAACATTTACCAACAACATCCGTATATAATTCTTTTGTGGTTTGTTTTCACGTATGATAGTGTGTATACTGTGCTCCTCTTAGTTCACGGTACTTAACGCTTTGAAACCAGAAAAGAAACCACAAATGAAACTTATGGAATAAAAATTGTCATAAGCTATAACAAATAGGGTTTTTCTGTTGAATTGCACAAGGAAACAACAATATATTCAGTCAAAGTCAATTATAATGTACCAAGCGTAGACCATATGTCGGCCATTTTTAAAACAGTATGTCATCATTTAAATCGCGGTAATGGTGTTACATTTAAGTTTTTTCATGTCTCGGTTAAAATTTCTACATGTTATTTTGCTTGAATTTAAATAATTATGTTATCCTTAATTTGTAACTCAAAATTTATTTTTTCAACAAAAAAAGAACATTTAGAAAATGATGATTGTTTCAGACATACGCACAAATTGAATGGATTTTTGTTGATTTTTGCAGAAATTTGTAAAATGGTAAAAATCTAGATATTTAAAATATTTTGCACAAAAACTTTGTTGTATAGGTGTATGAATAAAATGAGTCAATTCTGACCAATCTTAACACCGGTCACTTAAAAATATGCCACTATCGTGAAATAAGTGATGACGCAGAATTAGTGATGTTGTGAATACTATCCACATTGTTATTTATGGTATAACAGTTCCCTTTTAATATTAAATTATCTTAACAGATACTTTTAGTCTTGAACTGCATAAAGTGTATCATGCACTTTATTTGTGAAACGAAGTACACGTTTTCTAATTATTTGTTCATGTTATATATAGATGTACGTTTGAACTACTGTACATCACAGATCATATACACATAATAAAAATAAGAAAATTGTTATTAGCATTTTCAGTAGTTTATGTCTTTCTGTTTCATTGTCCCAGTAATCAAATCTAACTCATTATACCTAAGTGACTGAAATAATCTTGCCAGTATTGAGGTCGTTTCAGCTTTATTTATTATCTCCCCAAAACCGAAGGCGGGATGCTCCGGCGTCCGTGTCCGTCGTCATGTGTCAACATTCGTCTTCTTCTCTGAAACTACTGGGCGAATTTACTTCGAATTTGGTCAGTACCATTCTTGTGACAGTCACACTTGAATTTGCTCATGTCATTTCAATGGCCCCCTTTAGGGGTCAACAGAGCTAAAAAAATTAGAAAAACCTTTAAATATCTTATACTACAGAACTAATTAATGGATGACCACCAAACTTTGTTTGTAGCATTCTTAGGTAATCTTCTATCAAGTTTGCTCATATTAAAGTGATTGGCCCCTTTTTAGGGGTCTCTAGGGCTAAAAGGAGAAAAAACATTTAAACATCTTCTTCTACAGAACTAATGGATGGATGATCACCAGGCTTTGTCTGTAGTTTTCTTGGGTAGTCTTTTATCAAGTTTGCTCATATTAATTTGATTGGCCCCTTTTAGGGGTCTCTAGGGCTAAAAATAGAAAAACCTTTAAACGTCTTCTTCTACAAAACTAATTGTTTGATAATCACCAAATTTTGTCCGTCGCATTCTTGGGTAGTCTTATATCCAGGTTAATATTAATTTGATTGGCCCCTTGTAGGGGCCGCTAAATAAAAATACCTTTAAACGTCTATCTCTACAGAAGTAATGAATGGATGATCACCAAATTTTGTCTGTATCATTCTTGGGTAGTCTTTTATTAAGTTTGTTCATGTCAAAGTGATTGGCCCCTTTTAGGGGTCGCTAAAGCTAAAAATATAAAAACCTTTATAAAAATCATTTCCTACTGAACTAACTGATAGATGATCTCCAAATTGTGTCTGCAGCAGTGTTAGGTAGTCTGTTTTCAATTTTGTTCATATTAATTTGGTTTGTCCTTTTTAGAGGCTGCTTAAGCTAAAACTAGAAAAACCTGTGAACATCATTTTCTACTAAAATTATTGATGGATGATCACCAAACTTTGTCTGTAGCATTCTTAGGTAGTCTTTTAGTCTTTTATCAAGTTTGGTCATATTAATTCGACAAGCCCCTATCAGGGGGCCACTAAAGCTAAAATGCCCCAGGCCATGGCATTTCTTCAAATGATAGTTTAATAATGAAAGGAAAATAACTCATGTTGGAATGTTTTCGATAATTTTGTACATGCATAATGTGAACTCTCCGAATTTGAGCAGGAGACTCCCTCTTTCTCATGTCAAATTTTAAAATATTTTTCTGAAATAAAAAGGTGTTTAAAAAAAGAAATCTGCCTCTTTTTCATTTAAAAATTTCCTACTATGCCTATTGTCAATTCAAAAATCTCCCTTTTTGAAGTAAATTCTCCTTCTTGAACATTGAAAAAAATTCACATGTATGTTCATGTTATGCATTAAAAATTGAATGTGTTAATGTCATTACCTGTTTGCTTTTCAAAAACTGATGCCTACCTGATAAAAAAAGTAATTCCAATACAACAAGAGTTACAAGACTTGTAAATGTAATGTGACATGACAGAAGTGCAACATTGTTCTGTTTGTGCCATTAACTTTAGTCAGTAGAACTTATTTTAGATGATAAAAATATCAAAACATATACATTTTCTTTTTCACCTATAATGCTACTCACTTACTTCAAATATCAACAACTAATCATATATGGAAATATTAAAATCCAGATGTAAATAAGCCAAATCGACTTTATTTTCAAAATGTCCGTTACATGTTTCGCGCCAAATGGTATATCATGTTAAACAAGAAAGGCATTGATGCAAAACATCAGATGGCGGCCAAGCAAGAAATGCAGCTAGTGACGATGAACTAGTAGACATCTGATGACCAGATATTCTTTTAAACTTTTCAATGGTTAATTGGATTTTACCAGAATTGTTCATGTATATCATAGATGATTGGGCGGACGAAAGACATTGTTCATCATGAAGTTTGGTCGGCTTGCTAAAAAATGAAAATATTAAATGTATTTTCTTTGGAACATACAAAACAGTAGTCAAATTTAACAAAGTATGTTTTTTATTATTATTGTAACAAATATACAAACAGCATATAAAAATAAAAACAAAAAAGACTCATAATGTAATTTAACAGGCATTTTTTCTATCAAATTAAGAAAAATGGTTTCTTTTGATACCTTGGACTTAAGATACAGTAGCTATATTTAAAGTCTCAGATAAATACTGAAAGAAGAACACACACTGGAATGAAAAATTTTGGATGAATTCCTAAAAGACTAAATTCAGGATTTCCATTGTTTGTTATATGCGTTAACAAAAATAATGGAACATTTAAAATTATGAATAAAGTTGCATGGCATGTTGATATATTGAAACATTATTTATCAATGGAATACTGTTACCTGTATTTTAGACAGGTATCATAGGGTATGAGGAAATTCACTTACATCATGTTCATGCGAGTCAAAGATATAAAAACTACTTGACATAGGTTATAAAAAAAAACTATTATGGTTAATTGATTTTTTGGGAGATGAATCTACTCTTTTGTTGAATTGATTGACCCACCAGTGTGTTTACATTCCTATCAATAAACCTATAACACCTCGACGAAAGTTTTAGTTGTTAAAATACATGTTTCAGTATTCGGCAAATCAACATTTCACTCAAACCACGATAAAACCGACTGCCTTCAAACAAAATGGAACTTCTAATAGCAAAAATTCGGGACACCAGGGTCGATTTAAATAATCAGGGGAGCTATTAATTTACTTTAATTTTTTTCAGTAAGTTATAAAGGGTGCAATTTATGGTTGAATATATTTCAAAACTGTTATTTAACTACTTCTATAAATAGATTTTCGGACTTTCACAATGTTAAGATCATATCTATTTATAGCTTTGTTCCCATTCTCATTCATTAATATGACATGAGACCAATATATGACTTTACATAATAGAAATCGAAAGGATATCGGAATTATCGAATTTATATTTAGCTGTAAATCGATGGGATTAATTGATAAAAATTGGGTCCATGGACAAAATAAATAATAAACACAAATAGCTCCTTCGCATCATTCTATTAATCTTTCTGCAGGTTCATTTGTAGGTCAATAAGGAAATGAAATAAGGCCTAAAGAAATATTACATTAGTTTCCTGTTAAAAATTTTTTCACCTTTTGTTGAATTGGATCCAAAATTGGAGAAAGCACGTGCACATTTCAATAAATATTGAGACACATCATGTGCATGGGATATTGTCACTGTGTAACAGATAGGTGATTGTTTTTCACTGCGACTCATTTACAATATATGTTGTATTATATGAGAATATGATAATAATATATAGATAAGTCTGATCGATAGACTTGTAATTGTCTCATTAGCCTGAACTGGTTTTCTTCAGCTGCATAACCCTTTCTCTGATCTCAGTTGTTTTTGTTTTTATTTATTTTTTTGCTATTTTAGTATCAGTTTCAATTATTTTTTCTATTCAGTATCACATTTTGAAAACATGGTTATCACTTGTTGAAAGTAATTTTGCACTGGTTATATAAGATCACTTTTTTACCCTGTATGTAAAGTTGTTTTCTTGTTCACTGAATACATTTCATCAAAACAGCCTTTTGCTCTTTCCTCTATGTAGTTAAAGTTACAATTGTTCCCATTTCTGTTAGAGAGTAAGATAATTAACCTGAAATGTTCACTTTCTGGTTGAGTTGACTTGTATACCTATGTTATCTTAAATAAATATTG